AATTCATATGTAATATTTAAAGATTTAAGAAGAAAGCAATTCAATTATTTCTATAATATTTCGCTTTTGTTTCACATCAGTGCAAATATTATAATATTTGCACTATGTATAGAGTATATATATATATATATATATATATACATATAGTGATTTATATATATATCTATATATGTACAGATCTTATCTATAGTCTATGACGGGTTCAGAGCACAGACGATTGAACCTGTGCGAAGTTGATCCTTAGCGAGAATTAGAACACAAGCGACTTTCTGTCACACTTGAATTTCCCAGTAAAGTTCGTAATCCAACGTCTTAACTGACATGTTTGCCAGTGAGAGAGCTCTCACAGGAGAGCGGAACGCTACGTTAACTTTCTAAAACTTGCCGGTACGCCATAAACCTCGCCGTATCCAAAGGGATTCCCCCTTACTTTACGTAACGCGACGAAAGTCTGCCTTTGTGCTAAAGTTGCGGTATAAAACCGGCGAAGGAAAAAAAATGATGGGAAAAGGGAATGAAGTGGTCAGATATATTGTATAGATAAGGGGGTTTACGATCTACAAAACAAATTCTCCTAAACACAATGATAAAGATTAACGCGATGATAACATCGCGGGCAATGTCCGCGTTGCATGTCGTGGCGTATGTGATCCGGAGTTATCGTTGACACGCTAGATTAACAAATTAGTTAATTCTGTATATGGAATATAACATGATTACTTCATGCAATCGCAGGTGATGACGGCTAATGTGTTGTAGGAATGTAGGCGGACGATTTCCGCGTCCCCTGATCCATTTCTCTTGACGACGACCGTCTTTTCCTTCTCATCACGTCCCTCCTTCGTATACATCTTAACGACCGTCTCTTTCATATCTTTTATAAAAACGCCGTAATAATTTAAAAATAGAACGAATTCACTCTCGCTCCGTAATGTGTGACTTTAAATAACAAACTAGTTTCTCCCGAGAACCGGAGGTCCTAAATATAAAAATAACTGCTCGAATCAACCGAAGCGTCATAAATTTTATTCTGAATGATCCAAATGTCCGTATTAGTAATATGCTCTGTTATTTTTATATGTTATTTACAATGTTAACATTTTTTTTTTTTTAAGTAAAAAGTTGAATAATGTGCTTTCATTACACGAAGCAGTAGGGTGGGAGAGAGACAGTGGTGCTGTAGCAATTATCAGTTCATCCGCCTTAGTTATTTCCGGAGTGCTTTTGCACTCTCCTGCATTTGCCTTGGGAAGATTATAGATCACGTGCGACGACGAGATTTATATCTCGCCAGTACCGGTCGCTTCCTACTAATGCGTGAATCTGGTCGTCCGACGCATTAAAAGCGATGTAAATGTCGTTTGAAGGATATTACGTCCTAATTTTATCACCAGCGTGTTTTATCATTCACGTCGCGAACATAAACGGACCGTGCTGGCAGAGTCTTAAATAAATTTTGTGTAACGGAAAATACAGGATATTCCAAGACATGTTGGTGAAATGTCTCTAACTAAATGAATAAATAAATTTGCAATTAACTTTTTACATTAGAAATATTTTAACGTTATAAATTATATATAAAAATATCAAAGTATATTAATCAAAATGAAATTTATTAAGATGACTTTATATTCTTTTTTTTTTTATGAAAAAAGTGACAGCCACAAAATAAACGTAACAATAATTGAAAATAAAAATAAAGATTTAACAGTATTTAAAGCTTACAAGATTAAAAACAAAATGGGATTTCATAATAATTTCTCTTAAAATGTGTTATATCTACCTATACTTACTCGTTTCATATTTATTAAATATTTATTTTTAATCGATGTCGATGAGTTCATTCGAATTGTTATCCATAATCCGATAACAAAACGATATTTGAAATTTATAAAATATTAAAAACAAGACGGGATTCCATAATATCCTTCTTTGTACATAGCAATATATTAACTTTTAACTCTTTTCATATTCATTATTGATTTTTATGATGGTTCAATCGATGTCGAAAAGAAATAGGTATACGGTTGTTATCCGCATTATGATAATAATACGATATAATACCTTTTAAATATGCAACTTAAATTAGTTTTTCCTTTCATCAACTTGTTGTTTTGCCTCCTTTCAGAGATTCCTCGTTTAGATTCGCAATGTATTGAGGTTTAACGGATGTCATCGAAAATACGTACCTCGCGATAATAATCGTGGAGACAGAAAAGCTGGTCCTTCTTTGTATTCCTCTTCGCTTTTCTTGTCAGCATAGAACGAGCCCCAGTCTCATTACATGATCGCATCGGAAAAATAATCTTGAAAGAAACGTGTCGCGTGATGAATGGAAGGAAATGATGCGCGCGAAAGGCTATTATACGCGAAACATTAATTACTATAACGACGACACCGATTAACTCGTGAAATCATGTCGCGGCGAGTCGCTCCAACGTTTTGCCACACGATTATTAGTGCTTCTTGTGCACATTGTATGAAATATCGAGAAATCGCACTGCTTTCAACAGCAGACGCTGCTCGCCGACTCGTAAATTGATATCCTCCTTTCAAGCTCTTAGCTTAAAGTATATTCACATTACGCGCGATTGGTGGCGTGGTCAAGCGGGATCTCATTTTACAACGATCACGTGAAGAACAAACTTGTATAAAAATGCAATGTCATGAACGCGAGAGATTTTAAGGGCTGGAAGGAACGAATTTATGACATACTTTTTCTCTGGCAAAACGCCAGAGAAAATCTCTGTTCATGTTCAGTTCACATAAGTACATATGTACGATTTTATAGCCCATTTTCTAGGTATTGAATCTGGAATTACAAATTCATTATTTGAACGGAGAAAATTTATTTCTTTTGATCCTTATTCAATTGTGCAATTCAAAACAAAAAAGACAGTAACTCCACACTTCCACAGCATCAAGTGAAATGTAGCAACGAGAACGGACGATAAATTTGCCAGGGGGTTGCGCGCGTGTAACATTCACTCGTTCGTTACGCATAAAATTAATAATTGCCATCACGTACGACGTCGGTTCCAGTTATTCAACATGACGCTCGATTATTAAATACGCAAACACCACATAATATAATGTTGCGTCCGTGCATCTCTCGAAATCGATCGGGCTTTAGTCGCGCCGATCAGTATCGATCGTTGAGAAGCGTAACATCGGAATCTGAGTCGTCGGATCCGATCCGGAACCGCCAATTTCAGAGTCTTGCTCCGTTTCTGATTTACAATCAGTAGAAGCGAGATTCTCCAAAATAAGATCGGATTCTAGATACGGAATTCTCGAGTTTTTCATTTTTTTTCCCCGCTCAACTCCAACGTATTAAAAAGATTCTCCTCAATGAGGTAAAACTCCGCAAAAATCATCGGTAAATCTTCTTGCAAATAGAGCCTACGAATATTAGACACGAAAAATACAGAGATTCCAAATCATTCTAACTGAACAAACCTACGCCGTTTCATTTGTTGCACCGAAAGTTACAGCACAGTCTCTTTCATGTCTCTCGCGCACTATTCACATCGGATCCTTCGATACCGTTAATTCCCGTTTCCACAAATATACATTAATTTTAATTTCGGTTCATTTTACTTTTTAACTTTTTAATTCTTAGAACTATAATAGAAAAAGATAAAAAGTAAGTTAAACCGAGATTGAAGCTAATGTATAGAAATGGGCATAAGCGTGTACGAGTGTATGTCGCGCATCACAATACGTATGCTGATTGTCAGCTAACATTGTTTGTCAACCTGCTACCACTCAACACTCCGGCTTAAGGCTTTATTTATGAGTGGCGACAGTTGCGCGAAATTATTACGCAGGAAAGTTATACGATTATTTTATGTCCGCTTATAACATGAACGTGACCTTCTTAGAAAACAAAATCTCGCTGTAAATACAACTACCGTAAATAAAATTTATAAATAATTGGGATATAAATTCCACTTAAATTTTGTTAAGTTCGGTGAGAACTTTTTATGTCACCGCAACAGGTCGTTCTTACAACCTCGGAATCGCTCTTTAATCCCCTCTAACTCAACGTCGAGCAAGTGGTATTGAATTTCTTGAGTATATAACCGGTGTATTCCATCGTTTGCTACTTGTTTATTTTTTAGATATTTATTTTATACATTTTTTATATTTTACAGGATTATATAATTATATGTATATATATATATATAAACCTTCTGTAAAATATATACACATACATATACACAGATGATAATATATTTAAGCAATTTGTTAATATCACTCATTTATTCGAGCATACTAATTCAGAAGCGATTAAACTCGCGGCAACTATCACGTGCAGTTTGCGTGATTTGAGGATGTTGAGGCCGTCTGATTATTAAACGCGTCAGTATCGGAGAATATGCATGCTGATTGCCGGACGGCGTATTTATGCCTCGATTACG